TCTGACAGTTTTCATTTTATTTTAATTTTGTTGCTGTTGTTGTATGCTTGTAATCTGAATGTCAAAACACCCCAAACTGTGATTTTGGTGCCACATATTACATCAAGCAAATACTGTGGTGGTTCATCGTCTTGCAGCAGGTTATGGAATTAGTGGAGTGTGTTTTCATTTTACTCAAGAGCACTCAGTCACCCAGTAAGGAATAAGAAACAAAAATGAACTCACGATACAAATAATGCGCTAGAGAGCATTATACCTATTGATTCTTTTGTTTAATATGTAGAATTATGGGAATAGAGATATGGTCTTTTCTCACTATTCTTGCTGATAGTTCAAATGAAAATATTGCTATTTGTTTAGAGGACAAACCCACTCAGTAATGGGTGTTTCCCACTTATAGCCCCTTATAGCTATAATTTCCCCTCAAAATTTTTTCCACAATACTTTTTTTAATACTTCCCACAACTGAATATTAAAATTGCAGATTACAGTCATCTGCACTGAGTTTTGAGTTATGTACATGAGGGAAGACAGCCTTTAATGCACATATAGATATACAGTTGACTAATGCCATTGAGTAACAAGATCTTGGAGTTACCACAGATAATTAAGGTCCCTTCCAACCCTAACCATTCTACGATTCTATAATTCTGTGAAAATGTTGTTGCAGTGCTCAACAGTATTTCAACAATGCACGTGCATCAAGGATAAACTGCAGCTCTGGTCTTTTCGTATCAGAAGGGCTGCAATGAAACTGGAAAACTGGGAGAGGAAAGTAATGTGGATGATCAAATACATGAAGCTGGTATCTCTGAGAGGAAAGACTAAATAGATGAAGATTTCAGCCTACTGAGAGAACCGAGAAGGGGGTGTGGTATGTAGAGGTCTACAAAATCTTGAGTACCCGGGAGAACTTGAGTAGGGAACGACAGACTAATCTCTTCCTAAGATGATGTATTTCAATACAAGGCTTGTGTTGTGCTGCTTTTGCAGAATTAAACTTAAGGCTGAATTTTACAAGGCTTTACATATTTGGGGCGGTCAGTCATAATAGCACAGAATCTATTTCAGTTTCCTTCATCTTCTTGTGAAGATTTATAGTGACAGCATTCCTTTGGTGAACCATAGCTACTAAAAGTAATTTTTCAATAATTTTATTTAAAGGCTGATGGTTCCTGTTTGGCATGTCTCAATTAAAATAGGTTTTAAATGGATGCAGGAGAACCATTTTAAATAAGTCTTATGAAGATAAAGTAGCTACCAAGTCAGTTATTCAAAAGAAACCATTCAAGGATATTCCTTCAAACAGGCAAACCGATGAGTGTTGATTAAATCCAAGACTAAACATTATTTCTTTTATTGCTAATGCAGCTTTGTTAGTTTGCAATGTAACAGTGAAGGAGATGTCAGTCAGACCTCTGTAACTCGGCCATGCTCACGTGGCTTGCAGAGTTCCTTACAAACATTGGCAGGTACTACGGAAGAATTAAGGAGATACATTCTGGGCACACTACTTTCCTTGTAACCCAGGTAGGGGAGGTCATTTGCAGCCTAAAGGACTGTAGAACTTCTTAAGGGAAGGACGAGCTGGAATCTGCTGGTGCTTACAGGTGGGAAGTAATGGGATTTTTATTTAGGACAGAGGTGAACTGTATCAGTTTAGTGGAAACCCTAAATTTTCTGACAGCAGCAGCGTATACCTATGTTATTGGTGATGAAACACCATCAAATCCATTTTGCCGGTTAATAAAAAATACACTTATATTTTAGGTGACATGTAGCATTCCCTTCCACAGAAATACGTCATTTTAACCATTTTACAGTTCTGGAAATCTGTTACAATTTTCAGTTGCAGTGTTCGTTCAAAAATAAAAGGTGTAAACTCTGGCATGGTTTGATAATCTAGTCGTCTACATATTGAAGTATGTTTTGTGTGCTTGGCTGGTTGGTATTTTTGTTTGTTTGTGTTTTTCTGTGGGTTTGGTTGGTTGGTTTTTAGTGCAGTTGTACAGCTGTTACGTTACAGGGCTTGGCAATCCCAGAGGTCCCTTCCATCCCTCTCGATGATGTAGACAACTCAATTGGATATGAGTCTGCGATGAGCAGCGTAGGTAGGGATGAGAACAGAGTGCACTGCTCATTTAAATCAGAGATTTAAAATCCTGTTCTGTGACTTTGTTCCAGGAGGAAAAATCTTCTGTCAGTCTTCACTGGGTTTGAGATTGACTGTTGTCATCCTTTATCAACTCAACACCTTTGTAGGTTGCTTGAGTTGGCCACTTTTGGCTTATGAACACACAAACTATTCTGATGTGCACAACGTGACTGTAGTTTTTCTTCTTGATGATTATTAATTCCACTTTTTTCAAGAAATCCCAGTTGAAACTGTGATATATCCGAGTAGCTCTAGTTTGTTTTTTTTTTCTTTTAAGTTCTCAATAAATAATTTAAGCTCAAATACTGCCTTGTCTTAAAATTTGAGTATAGCAATTTGAAAAAACCACAGTCATAAAGAAATTAACTTACTTTCTACTTAAGTCACAAACTAATATTTATATACATACTTTCTACTTAAGTCTCCAAGTAATGTAAAAACCCAAGTAAGTGCATTATATTAACATTGGTAAGCAGCCACGGTATCAAAATATGTTTCTTTATGTGATTCCTACTTGATTTCCATAATATTGTTACTAAGCAATTATATAAAACTTGCATTTGCATGCAAGAAAGTTAGAAGGGCCTTCCTTATTAATGTTTACGTGACTTCCTATACGTCATCAATTAATTGCTTTCCTTTTCAAGAGGACACAGGCATTTTAAGGTAATAGAAAGTGTAGAAAACATTATCTATGGTATTTGCTAAATATTCTCAGAGATTATCCTTTCAAAATAGTTACAAAAAAGTTAGTTTCAATAAGAATTTTTGCTCTGTGGAAAAAAACAGGAAGACAGTCTTGTCAACAGGGACATAAAGTATGTTATTATGTCTAAGATACCTGTTGTTCCTTTTGCATGCTTTCTTTAAAATCAAGATTTTTTTAAAATGTCTCAACAAAAGTATATTGCAAAATCATTAATTCACTTGAAAAATAAATCAAATGAAATTCTGACTAAGCCAATTGATACCTTGTGACAGACTTGTATGTCCTACTTTTTGATAAATACATTTTGCTAATGCTTCAGTTTTGGCCATAATAGTTCTTTTTAACAATCTAGTTATAGTATGTCACACAGTGGTATTAAAACTCTTCTGAGATGCTCCGTATAAAGTATGAATTATTAAGTAGCAGTTAAAACATCTAGACACATCTTTCAAAAATAGAAGTAAAACAGATAAAGAAACACAAAATACAATTTTTCAGCTTTTACAACTGAACACTTATGTCTGCTTCTGCCGATTCTCTAAATAACAGAAACAAGCTGCTTATTTTTTTTTTTTAATTAGCCTAATAGTTCAGTTAAAGAAATAACGCCATAACAATGTACACTTTTGTCTTTGGGATTTGAGCTGAAGTCTTTTCTACACAGTAACAGTTAATTAATAGCAGAAAATTTTTCTACTTGCACCTGCTGTCCCTGCTCCTCATTGCGTGGTGTAAATGTGTCCGTAGACTTAGGCAGGAGAGATGTTTTCACGGGATTCTTTCTTTGTAGACTTGCACACAATACTTTCTCTCCTAAAACACTGTGGGAAGTAGATTTATTGTCGTCTCAAAGATATCTGTTAGATTTATTCTCAAGTTATCTGTTAGATTTGTGATAGCAAGAGTACTGGTCTGAGGAACAAACTTGGGAATGGAGATTTTATTTAAATTATTGTTTTTCATAGCTTGCTAGGTTTTCAATCAGCTATTTTTTCCTTAAAATGAAAAAAAACCAAAACCAAACAAATTCTGAAGTAACACTAGTTGTGAAGTTTGTTGTGGTGTTTTTTTTATTTTTTTCATTCCAGATCTGAACTGTTCTCCCCTTCTTTACACAACTGAATGCACAAATTAAAAGTTTTTATTAAGTATTTCAGGACTCAGAATATTCATATTATCTTTCAGATCACTTGATGGAGAGATCTCAGTTCTCCAGAAGGTGCTTGTTGGTTTTTGGAAAGACCTGATTTATTGCAAATTGACAGAAATTTTTTTTTTAAAGTTGTTTACATATGAGAGGAACAGAATTTATATTGATGCTCAAATATCAGTATTCTCACAGCTTAACTGAAAACTAACTTTTCATCCTAGAGATTTTATAAAAAAAACTTCTTAGAATGCAGAAGTATGTCTAGAGACATGCAAGTATGGATATATACAACTAAGTACTATATTTTACAGAAATAAAAACTTCTGTAGATTATGTTGTGTTGTCCACACCTAAAAATGTTTATTACTTTCTACTTTTAAACGTAGCATTCACAACAGGTAGACGTTTGCCTCTTTTGTTGTTGTTTCTCGGATCGTGAAAGTGTAATATATTATTTTATTGAGAGTGCATGCAGATTAAAATAGTGTCTTTTATCAGTGCTCAGAGATGTGTTTTATATTCTGTGTGGTCAGTTAGGCTGGGAAGCAGCCCGTTAATAAGCGTTTGTTTTATTCTGTGTCCTGTAGACAGGTGGACGTTTTCTTTCGTTGGATGACATGCATGCTGCTTGAAAGAGAACTAACAAACTTGGAAAAAGCATTCCAGCACTGAGAATCGTGTTGATGAAACGTGAACTCTTGAGTCCAAATGTTAGCTTATTCTGACAGATTTACAAATGAGAAAGTAATTTAAAGCCTTGAAGGTCTATTTTACATTAGGGTAGTGAAGTGCATTCAGTAACTCTTCATGTTCACAGAGAAGAATTCACATAAAATTTGCATGGAGCTGAAGCTTGCTCTTCCATTTTAATAGGAGGTGTATTACAGCAAGATGGCTTGTGTGATTTATGATATGAGTTTTTCAGAAAAAAGTTTGCCTTTGTGTATGGCTTCTCTTCAGCTTCACTTTTTCATCCGTGCTTACAGAACCCGAAGGACTGCAGCAAAGCTAAGAAACTGGTGTGCAATATCAACAAAGGCTGTGGCTATGGTTGCCAACTCCATCATGTCGTCTACTGCTTCATGATCGCGTACGGCACTCGGCGGACGCTCATCCTGGAGTCTCAGAACTGGCGCTACGCTACCGGTGGCTGGGAGACTGTGTTTAGGCCTGTGAGCGAGACGTGTACTGACAGGTCAGGTGCCACCACTGGACACTGGTCAGGTAGGACCTCATGGCTCAAATAATTTCTCCTTGTTTTTTTCAGCTTCATTACCGTAGAACTCTCTTGATACCTCTTTCTATAAAGTTATGTGGAGCGTAACAGCTATGACTGCAATTGTATACATAAGCATCTTTTAAGTCTTATTTTTTCATTCCATTGAAAAAAAAATCCTTATTAAGATATCTCTGCTTTGGCAGAGATTTTTTTAGTATAAAATTTTTTCATTTGAGCCTTGAATTATAATCCTTTAGCAGTCTGCCACTGCATTATGTGCCAGATCTGAATCTAATTTTTCTGGGAAGAGAGTATTAAGTAGAGGCCGTTGTTGGTAAATTTTAAAACAATTAAGCATGTTTCAAATATAAAGCCAAAGAAATGCAAAGAAAATGGTGTCCAATAGTCATTCGCACCCCAACAAAATAATGAAAATAATTGAAGTAATTTTTAATGTCAACTGAACTGACTCAAAATTTAGGTTGTAAAAACAGTGGCAATGTTAAATGCTTTTTTATTTGTAGATCAGCAAGTTGATCCATTCTTATAGTAGGCTGAACAATTTTGCTAGGATTGCTAGGGAGGCGTTCATGCTTGGAGGATCAGATGGCTTGTCTGGAAGCAAACAGCATTCATTTTAATGGAATTAACATTTTTCAGGTATACAGCACAACTGGAAATGGATGGCAATACGCTTTTTGCTCTCAATTTATGATGAATGCTAGGAAGAATTTTTTTTAAGTTAAATTTCTGCACAGATAATTTTGATGTGAACAATTGTCAGCTTTGTAAAACATGGATTTTATTGACTCTCCCACTTTTGTTAGGCATACTTATTTTTTCTAAGTCCGTAACTGGTATTACAGTGGGAGTTTTAAATGCTCTAAGAAACGCAGGGAAGACAGTTGATCAAAAAAGAATAAAACTGACTGTTCTTACCCAAGACTAGGTAAGTTTAGTGGGATGTCTTCCTTGATAAAAGGAGATAAAAGTGATGAGGTGGCCGAGTGGTTAAGGCGATGGACTGCTAATCCATTGTGCTCTGCACGCGTGGGTTCGAATCCCATCCTCGTCGGGAAGTTACGCTTTTATGGACAGTAGGATTGAGTGCACCCTCAGCAAGTTTGCAGAAGACACCAAGTTGTGTGGTGTTGTGGACACGCTGGAGGGGGAAGGGATGCCATCCAGAGGGACCTTGACAGGCTGGAGAGATGGGCCTGTGAGAACCTCATGAAGTTCAACAAGGCCAAGTGCAAGGTCCTGCACGTGGGTCGGGGCAATCCCAAGCACAAGTACAGGCTGGGTGGAGAACGGATTGAGAGCAGCCCTAAGGAAAAGGACTTGGGAGTGCTGGTGGATGAGAAGCTCAACATGAGCCGACAATGTGCGCTGGCAGCCCAGAAAGCCAACTGTATTCTGGAGTCCTCAACACAAGAAGGACATGGAGCTACTGGAACGAGTCCAGAG